AAGGTAAGCTGGGTGGCATGGGTTGAAGATGCAGACAACCCCTCTAGTTCCGAGCGCACAGAATTGAGAAAAGTTTGCAGGACCGAGTAGGTATCTCATGCGATCAAACATTATTCGCAACTATCCCCAAGGGCTAACGATTGTAGTAGCTAGATGGAGCGTGATGTAGTCTGTGGTCAGTGCGCTACAATGTTCGGGCCAGATCCCGACTTGTAAGGAGAAGGCAGAAGACACCATAATGAGAGGTTTAATGTATACAGACGCAGAGTTGTCGTCCCATGCGGCATTCGTCACTGGCGAAGCCAGGGCTGGTGTTGACTGCATACAGTAATGCCCGAGAGTCCCTGGGACAGCGATGGCAGCCGCTATTGTAGGCTTGTGGGCCAAGCTCTAGTGGTCTCCAATCGGTGTGTGTTGTACTTGTCGAGGGGTGGTGTCCCAGTGGCTTGCTTTGCTGGTTTAAGGGAGTGGCGCTTTCAAGTGGCGCATGGGTAGCCGCGGCGCTGTGAGGACTCAGCTGAGTCCGAGCTGAGGTCAGTTGAGTGGCTTTGGGCCAGTGCGTCTGGAAGAACTCGCTGCAAGGGATGAGTGGCCTTGAGGCAGTGATGTCTTGAACAATGACACCAGATCGATCATGATGGCTACCCGCTACAAGTTCGATTCCGAGGACGATGAAAATGATGCAGACTGTCAAAGGCAGCCAGGAAGGTGGGTGGATGGCCGATAATCACCATCACTGGTATCTCAAGAAAGATGAGTACGCTTATTGATTTTAGGTCGAATGTGGGGGCAAAGTTCCTCGCTCTTCCCTCGTAAAGCCAATAGATCACTTTGCGCCTATACCTCAGTGAATTAATACTTGATCTGCAGCGACAGATAATGACAGGTGGCGAGGCACTGATGAACTTCGGTTCGAGGAAGTGCTTATGTCAAGGTCAACGCGCGCAGCACGATTTTGAATAGATAAGTGAAAGTTATATTTTTGGATTCAATTTCTTAATCCCTTGCACAGTTTTCCAGTGTAGACCTGACGAAATTTTCTATTTTTTGTCTTAAGTCTTCTTCGCTTCCTGTCGTGTTTCTGCGATTTGTCATAAAGCAGAAATCTATTGTCGCAGTTTTTCACCCAACATAGCCTCAATCCTATCAAGTCTTACCTGCATAAACAAAAGGTTTTCCTCGTAATAATATAGATTAACATTATATTTTAAACGATAAACCGTCTCCACTGACGGCTTTCATCGTCAGTTTATTGAGAATTATACTGTTATCTATTTTATCCTACATAGCCTCATTATCCAATTCAGATTTATTCATAGTTCTGTTTTACCACCTACGAAATTGTCATTTGCCCGTTTTTTTTCTAGTTTGCATTCTGGTATTGAGTAAAGCTTGCTTAGTATAAATTGTGCTGTCTGGTCCACCAATATTTGCAGATTTCATAAATCGTTTCATCATACATAGCCTCATCCATATATCCTCGAAGTTTCGGCAGTTATCATCCATATAAATATTTGGACTTAAGTCTTGTATTGCGTTTTCGGCATGAAACCTCAAGCAACCCTTCGTCGAAATCT